TCTGAGATAATGAAATTGGACAGTATCATATTACTTTCCTCTACTTGCCTGTTTGCCAAGTTGTTTTTTTTTAATGACCACACTTTTAAGATTATCTTTATAATAGAAAATTAATAACAGTATAAGAAAATGAAACCTTGCCCAGAATCTTCCTCTGAGTTCATAACAGGATTCTCCTGGCTGGAGAGTCTGTTAAATACCGTAGTCAGAGGAGCTGCCCTAGGTCATGCAGAAGTTAAAGCCCGAGACTGGCCAGACACGGAGCACAAACAGCTTGTTTTGTTCTTTGCCTGGGCAGGGAGCACACTGAGGCTGGGTGTGTTCCCCGCCTTCCATAGTCCTCCAAGATGGGGTCAGCACAAGTCAGCCAGATCCAGCCCACTGCCTGTTTTTTGTTTCCCACAGTCTGACTTCTGCCAACTGCATCTCCATGATGTCATTTAACTCATTTTCTCTATATTTCCTGTAAGTTGGCAGTAACCACAGTCTTAAAGGACCATATCCTTTGATACAAGACTTTCTTTATTCATCTATTCAACAAATTTTTATCAAGCATCTACCTTGTGTCAGGGTTGGGGCTGCAGATGCAGCAGTGAAAATAATAGTCAAATTTCTGCCCTTGTGGATCTTCACATCCATTCAAGAAGTCAGTGGTATGTTAAATGGTAAGTGTAAAGGAGAAAAGCGCAGTGGGGAGGGATGGGCAGAGTTAGGGCAGGTAATGGGTGTGAAGGTAGGCCGTGCCATTCTAGACAGGATGGTGGGGAAGGTGTGCTAGCGGGGAGTCCTTGTGTCTGCATCCCTCTGAGAGCAGAGAAGCCTGCCAGTGCTAGGGCCCTGCGAGGAGGGAATATTTGGGTGGGTTATAGGAGCAGTGCAGAGGCGGCCCTGGCGGCTGAAGCAGAGCGATCAAATACCAGGGGGCTCAGAGTTCAAGGCAAAAAGGGAATGGTGGGAAGAGGCAGTTGTTGGCATCTTGTGTCGGGACTTGTGGGCTGTAGGCAGGACACTGGCTTCCACTCTGGGTGAGACTAGAGGATTCTGGGCAGCAGAGGGATGTAATCTGATCTAGGTGTTAACAGAACCCCTCTGGCTGCTGTGCTGAAAACAGACTGAAGGAGAGGCTTAAGCAGTGAGAGCAGACTGTTCAGTAACCCAGGCAAGAGTTGATAACAATTCAGATAAGGTAGTCAGGTGAGTGGCACAGAGCTCCTGTTGAGTCTGAAGGTGGAGCTACCAGGGTTGCTGGCGGAGTGCATATGAAGAGGGAGCAAGGCAACTCCATGCTTTGGGGTGTAGTACAGCCCTTCCAGACAGATGGACTTGTGCTCACTGTTGTGAGGGCAGTGTGTGCAGCATCCTGGGAGGGAGTCAGGATTTACATTAGGACAAGTTGACCTCTACTCGACATCCACAACGCGTCTGTCCAGCTGGATAGGGGAGTCAGATTTCCAAGAAGAATTCTAGACTAAAGCTGTAAATGTGTCAGCCTTCAGTGTACAGTGGGAGTTGAGGAGGGTGCTGAAGCGTGAGACCAGAGCACTCCAAAGCTCAGGGACAAGGAGAAGTGGGGGTGGGAAAAATGCAGGGAGTGTTGTCCAGGGAACCAAGTTGGCGTCTGCGAGGGAGAGCCATGGGTCAGCCAAACACTGCACATCACAAGCTGGAGACTTGGCTATGATGACCTGCTGGGAAGTCTGTAAGAGCCTAATTGTAGTGGCTTCCAAAGAGGACAAGAGAGGGTGGGGATAGCTCTAAGACACACAATACTTCTTCTGGAAAATGTTGCTCTAAAGGAAAGGGTAGAAACAGTGATGGCCAATGCCAAGCTGAGATCAGAGTGAGAGCTATCTGTTCAGTTTGGTTTTGAGCTAGAGAAAAGAACAGTGGTTTCTTGAGCTTATACAAGTGGTTTAGTACAGAGGGTGAAATCGCTGCAGGGGGCTGGCTGGGATGCTGACCTGAAGCAGGGGAGTGGGCCCGTGGTCACATGCTACAGTAGAGTTGGCCTTGGTGGCTGGGTAAGGGGACAGGCACGGTCCTGGTGTTTACAGAAGTGCTCTGTTCCTGAGGTGGGAAGCCAAGTACTCAACTTGAAGAGCTGTTGGAAATTTGAGGAGAGAAGATAGGAAATGGTTGACAAGGAGAGAGTATCTGGACTAAAGGAATAGGATTGCCAGTATTGTGAGCTTCTTGGAGGTTATTATCATGAAGTTCAAAAGAGACCAGTCAGCACTTGCAGTTTAGCTGTCTGTGTTTAGCTCTGCAGTCCCAGGTGTGAGTCAGCAGAAGACGGCTCTAGGCAAGACTGGGGTTTATCCAAGTGAGTACAAGCAAGTACAACTGAAGGAGTGAGGGTGGAGCCACACAGCTTGCCCAGGGACCGTGGGCTGGAAGGAGCATAGGCCAGGTGCAGATGGGGTGGTGGGGCAGGAATTAGGGTGCTCAAGGCAGAAAGCTGGAAAGGAGGGGAGGCCGCAAGCCAAGAGTAGATTCTTGTGCCAGGGTTCCCGGGGTTTGCAGCTCTCTGACAGTGACTGGCTGTTGTCTTGAGGAACACTAGGTCCCCAGAGCAAGGAAGTTTAAAAAAAAAAAAAGCTGTCCGGGAATGAGGGAGATCTGCTGTGTGCAGCAAGGAGGGCTTGCGCGTGACCCCCGGCACGAGATTCTTGGTCTACCAAGAAAGGGACTTGGCCCACTGGGGTGCAGGTGTAGGAGATAACAGCCAACACACATAGGAGTAGGCTGGCGGAGAGCGGGTGTGATGGCTGGAGTTATATTTTGTCTTCCAGGAGTTGTGCAATGGCCCTGGCTGCTTCGTGATCAGAAAGACACCTCCTTTGAAAACAAAATAGCCCTGACACCTAGGAACTTGAGACCAACTCAGGGGAATCTTCCTGTTTAAGGTCTCAGCAGAACTTCCCAATTGTTTGTAGGTTGGAGACCGCTGTTATGAGGAGGGAATGTATGAGGCAGCCAAGCTGCTGTACACCAGTGTTTCTAACTTTGCCTGCCTGGCTTCCACCCTGGTCCACCTTGGGGAGTATCAGGCAGCGGTGGACAGCAGTCGCAAGGCCAACAGCACACGGACATGGAAGGAGGTAAGCATGGGAAGTCGCCGGAGAGCGGGGCTACCGAGCCTTCCTTCCTTGTCCTTCCTTGTACTCCACACCCTTGTGCCATGTGAGACAAGTCTGGATGCCTGCCTTGTCCCGGGATAGCACAGAGAACCTTGTAAGCTTGCATTTGTGGTTGAAGCCAAGGCCCCAGGGAACCCCATGTTGAACCATTCAATCCTCAGAGGCTGTCTTAAAAGCATGGAATTATCAGTATTATAAGTAATATCATAACTTAAAATATGTTTTTAAATTACATCATTGTATTAGCATAATCAGTGTCAACTGACATTATTGGTCTTCTTGTGGTAAAGCTCTCTGAAAATAACAGAATCACCTATGAGCCAAAAAAAGTTTATAAAGATTTAGCTTCAATGAGTCTCTGAGGCATTGTTTAATAAAAGATTAAAATCAGATGTCCAATACCAAAACCTTGGTTAAATAGTATATATATTGCAGCTACCCTGCTGTTCAAAATGATTAGGCAGGGCCGGCCGAGTGGTGCGTTAAGAGCTGGCTTGGGATACCAGAGGGCCCCAGTTGAGATCCCACATATGAGGGCCAGTGACACTGCCCTCTACAGCTAAGATGCTGAACAACAGCTCAACCTGGAGCTGGGCTGCCGTGAGTTGCTGGCAACG